AATTGATGAATCAGGATAATCCAAATAGACAATAAATTTAATAAATAAAATTCAGTCTGCTATTATTATAATCTATTAAAAAAAGATCACATATATATATATATATATATATATATTTATTTGTGTGTGTTTATAGGTTTTTTATTAAGTTTGCTATATATTTTAGATAATAATATTAATATATATATATATATATATATATATATATATATATACGGTGGCATGAAAGGTCGAAAGTATGGGGCACCCAGTGAGGATCGAACTCACTAATCATTCGATATTGATTGATAGATTTCTCTGTGTGTGTAAGTTTTACACAACTAGACCTCAGATGGTTATATATATAGATATATATATATATATATATATATATATATATATATATATATATATATATATATATATATATATATATATATATATATATATATATACATGTGTGTTCACACATACACATAATATGAATTTGACATGTGTGTATCTATATGATTCTGTATTGATTTACATTTTGATTGATTCAAATATGTACAGATACATACATGCATATCTATAGATATATATATATATATATATGTGTATGTGTCTGTGTATAATTTTTAAATACACTAGATATAAATCATACACATACATACAGAAACTCGCTTAAAATTGTTGATATAGATTCAATATAAGAATTTAATTATAATTAGGCATCATGATGATTTATAATATTTATATATTTTTTAATTAACATTTTGTTTACATTTTTCTTTCATATATACAAGTTTTATATTCATATATATATATATATAAATATATATATATATATATATATCGAAAGATAATGAAATTTTGTTTGTGTGATTTGCATTTCACAAAGATTTTAGATCTGAATCTAAGAAGATAATGAATGAGAGGAAGATTTTTAGAAATAATGAGACTTTTGAGAAATTAAAATAATGAAACAATTGTTGTTGTCTTAGACACACACACACACAAACACACAAACACACACACACACACACAAACACACACACAATAAATACACACACAAACACACACACACACACACACACACACACACACACACACACACACACACACACAAAGAAAGAATCAACCTACCACCAAAAAGCGCATAAATTATGATTTTTTCACTTAAAAATAACGAAGGTAAGAATGTTTATAGACGTTTACTGATAACTCCTGACGAGTGGACCGAGCAATTGCACAACGGTTTTTTCTACAAATCTCAGTAATTGATGTTTTGAATATAACATCAATGAGACAAGTTTTAAATCAATCGATCGATCTATCTATCTATCTATCTATCTATCTATCTATCTATCTATCTATCTATCTATCTATCTATCTCAGTCTGTTCATATCTATCTCAGCCTGTTCCTATCTCTCTCAATATCTATCTCAGATTCTATTATCTATCCCTATCTATCTATCTATCTATATTTATATTTGTTATATCTATATATATATATATATATATATGTTATATATAGTCTGTTCATAGATATTGTTCATATATCTATCTATCTATTATCTAATATCAAATTTATTCATCGATCTATCATCAATGCTTAAATATTGTTATTATCTATTTATATTATCTATCTATCTATAACCACAAATCGATCTATCAACCTATTCATTATCTATCTATCTTATTCATATCATATCTATCTATCTATCTATTATCTATTTTTTATTTAATATTCTCTCAATATCGTTCTCACCATCAATCTATCTATCTATCTATCTATCTATTATCTATATTATTTATTACATTACAATAAAGAAATCGAGCCTTGTCGATCGAATGACAATAAAATATCTTGTTATTCATTTATCTAATATTTATCGAAAATTTCAATTGATTATTTATTATTATCTATCATTCATATCTGTCAAATTATCTATCTATCTATTTATCTATCTATTCAGTTAATTTCACATTGTTCATATGTTATCTATCTATCTATCTATCTATCTATCTATGTAGATTTACCATTGTGAATCAAAATTATTAATTTTTTTTATAACCTTCCTTAAATTTGTTCTTTTGTTTTCCCAGCCAATTTGGACTCAAAACCGGCACTGGAGAATTATCTATCAAATAAAAAAAAAATTATCAAAATCGGATGAAAACTGTGTAAACGCATAAACAACATCCGATCACACACATACACACACACACACATTTTGAGAATTATAGATATAAGACAAAAATGATGATATTTTTTATCGCTTCAAGATCAACATTAATATTTGCGATGATAAAAACTTAAATTTAACATGAGTTGTTAAAAATTATCACAGTTGGTCAAATGGTTCCATATTATTCGCCTCGTCATGTTTATAATATGTGTGGCTGAAATACATCCCAAATCTTAAAAAATCATTTCTTTAGTGTTTCTGTGATGAACTAGAAATCAAATGGCAAAGTATTCAAATCTATTAATGGGAAACAATATTTTTTTTTCTGTCAGATATCATCTAAAAACCATCATCTTTTGACCGTTGAACCGGAAAATCTAATTTGCTGTTAAAATGTTCCAAATTTTTGGAGCTGTTGCATCGTAAATATCAACACAGAGAATTTTTACGCTATGAAAATTTTAATATTACGTTGGAATTGTTCGTTTGACAGAAAAATAATAAATATGGGTTGACAATTTCAGGGTTATATTTATGGTCAAAAAAAAAAATTATTTGAAATTATTTCTCACATAAGCTTGAACTTCCGGTTGATGGAAAAGGTCGTTTATAAAAGTATATAGTGAATAAAGGCCACCATTTTTTTTTTTAAACCAAATAAATAAAAAAAATATCCTTCATTTTGTTTAAATATGAAAACAGCAGTGAAACAAACATTGAAATATTTGTTTTAATAGCATTTTTTTTAAATTTTTGTTAACCTGAAAGATGAATGGGTTGTATTAGAACGTCAAACGACAATTTATCTTAGTATTATTAGGTAAAAAGAAGGTCAAACATAAGAAATCGTAAGATATTCTTTCGTCAGTCTTAAAAGTCAAAATCTGTTTTCTACAGAAACCTCTGCAGCAAAACCCAGTGTTTACAACAAAAATTTTCCAACGGTTATAAGTATATTAATTTGATATTTTAATAATAATAATAATAATTACAGAATAATAATAATAATCGATGATTTTGATTTTTTTTTCTATCTTTGTAAAAAATTGCAGGTAAAAATGCAGAAAAAATATTTTTAGATTTTTAATTTTTTTTTTTTCAGATAATAAAGATTTATTCATGGATTTAATTTACAACTAAAAACCATAGATGGTGGGTGAAAAATAGTTATAATCATGATTTTCAAAAAGAATATTTGCGCATTTTTATTTTTTTATAAATGAAAAACTGGAATTGAAACTTTGCTTATTGATTTCAATTTATCCATTAAATAACAAACACATCCAAATGGAAGTTTTTTGGTATTCCCAAACTGGTTACCCATATCAGACACTGACCAGGCTCGATGTTTAATAAAGAATAAATTACATTTAAATTTAATTTCATCTATAATTACTTTGATTTCAGGCAAAGAGAAAGGGCATTTGTAAATTTATACTATTTTTTTTTCTTTTTGCCCTGTTTCATATTCAAAAAGCATTTAGTATATAAAAAATATTTTTGCGGTGAGGAGCTATTAATTATATGCATTTGTGCTAATTTGCACTTATTATTATTATTATTATTATTATTATTATATTTCCTTTGATTTCTGGTGTGTACACATTTCTTTCCGGGTCCCGCCCAGAGACCTAAGGTTAGAAATGGCATCATGACATTTTCCACTGACAAAAAAAAAAAAAAAATATTTTACATAGATAAAGCCCTTCGTAAGGTGTGGGCTGTACTCGTGAGAACAATTTTTTGTATTTCTTTAAGGCATGGACTTCCAGGAATCCCTTCAATTAGTCTACTGGAATCTTTTCCAACCAATCCGAGGGCTCCAACTACAACAGGGATTGTTGATGTTCCCATGTGCCACATTTTTGAGATTTCGATTTCAAGGTCCTTGTATTTTGATAGCTTTTTGAAGATCTTCAAAGATACATTGCAGTCTGCAGGGACTGCCATATCAATAAGGAGGCACTTTTTTGTTTGCGGTCTCTAATAACAATGTCTGGGCGGTTAGCTTTGATTGTTCTGTCAGTGTGTATTGTGTAGTCCCATAAAATTGTAACAGGTCCTATCTCCGTAACTGGGTCTGGGTTATGTTATTATTATTTCTTTTATTTTTATTATTATTATTATTTTAGTAGTATTATTATTAGTATTATTATTTTAATATAAAAAGCGCTAATTTATTTTAAATTACAACGTTTCGATAGCTGTGCCATCCGGTTTTCTTTTTTCTTCATTTTTGTAATTTTTAAAGAAAAAATTCGAAATTAAACATTTTTATTCAGTATAAAAATGAAGTTTCGGAATATGCTTTATTTTTGGTTTATAGTCCTTTTAAAATATTTTCCATATTTATCAAATTTGCTTTTTCTACTTAGTATTCCTGTTTAGCTGTCCTAATCAGCGATTGATTTATATAATTACGAATTTATAAAATTATTTATCGTTCTTATATTTTTATGATTTGATATTGTTCCATCATTTTTCTTAAATGAAATCAAGGAAGTGAAATCAAATTTCGATACATGAAATATATATAGTAGTACCTATCTGAGATCATTTCCAGAGAGTTCAAACTATTAATCCCTTTGGGGGCTGTCTTGAGATCTAGTAGATTTAAATAGACTATTTTCGTTATGAATCCTGATTTAAAGCTTGAATGCTGAGAAAAAATGTTGAATTGAGTTTTGTAATGAAAGCATTTTTTTCCAAAAACAATGAAAAAGATCAATAATAATAATAAAATAATAATAAGAAGAAGAAGAAGAAGATGATGATCATGATGATGATTTTTTAACCAGAAGTTGCTTGTTTCCAGAGGTTTGGAAAAAATTCAAAATTTTTTTAAATGA